ATGAAAAAAATACCCGAGACTTGAGCTTGTAGAAAAATGATTGAGTAAGGAAGCAAAAGAAACTCGTCAACGACTCTTGAAAGAGGAATCACTTGCTTTGATAAAAGATAAATGAGGAAAAAAAAATTTTTATTGAAACACAAAATTACAATGGTCAAGAAGTTGTATCAGAAAAAAATAATGATGAAAAGCGAGAATATCTACAAAAATTCCATTGTGGCAAGGAGAGAGAAATTCATATGGCAATGATAACTCGCCGAGTAAGTGGCCGACGGGAATTCTAAGACTTTCTTGTCCGAACACTTCAAGCTAATCAGATCTTGTGATCAGAGGACTTATGAACATCTTGGAATCCCCTAGGTTCGAGCTTTTGCAAGACCGAGTACAAGAGCAAGTAAGTCGAGTAAACATGATCCTAGATAAGTCAAATAAACATGATCCTAGGAAAGTCAGAGTCGGTCAGGGTAAGGTAGCACTAACAAATGATATTCCCGACAGAGGAAGTTGGAAGACTTGAAGTTGTTTTCGACCGTAGTAGCGGTTTTGTAGCAGTTCAAGAACGGGAGACATGTGGAAGAAAAGAAAAGGACAAAAACCCACGATAGTGTACGTGTCGAATGTTGGAGAGTTAATCGTTGTTGACGGTTATTGATGTACATAGTATATAAGTTGATTTCATTTCTGTAGCGAGGGTTCTCATTTTCATTCTATTGTACTTATAATTCAAATATCAAAGTCATAGAGATATGACTTTGCGTCCCACTTTTCAATCAAACACTTTTTTATCCAATTATTTTGTTGTTTTTTATTTATTTACTTTATCCCTTTTAAGCAATTCTGCATTTACTTCTTTACATTCTTATTAATTCATATAGATTCAATGATACAACCTTTTAGCACGAACACATTTCTCAAACATCTCGCACAAAAGTGTCCTTAGAGTTTTTTTGAGTTTAATCCTTTAAGTGAACAAAAATTTGTGATTTGTTTACTAAAACACCAATAAACACCGCCTAATATTCAAGTGATGGTGATGGACTCCCTCTCTTTTGACTAATGACATTGCATACGTCATTAGTGTCAAGGCGAGCTCTTTGTTTTGGCAAAGATATCCCCTAAGTGGTGTCATACTTCAGCGAGGGCGATTTTGTTGAGGACACTTATAAATATAACACTACAAATAATATTAATAACTATTTTAAAAAAAGTTGAAAATTCCACATAAGTAAATGATGTATAACAAAAGTAATACAAAATTTATTTGAGAAATCACTCCAGAAATATTTAACTACTCTCAATTTAAATTAGGGATGATAAAAAAATTATATTTGTGGATATACGCGGATAAAACCCATTGTGGGTACAAGTTTGGTGACTTATTAGGTATTCATGGATAAAGCTAACAGGTTTTAATTTCTTGTTAGTTTACGGGTACAGATACCTTGGTACTCATATCCATGAATATATGTATTCGTTAATAATGATCAAAATTATTGAAATATTAATTTGTTGAATTTAAAATAATAATAATAATAATAATAATAATAATAATAATAATTATTATTATTATTATTATTATTATTATTATTATTATTATTATTATTATTATTTATTGAATCTAGTATATTTATATGGTAGAAGAAGGAAAAATGAATGTGATTTATTATTTTTATTATTATTATTGTGTTAAATTTGAAAATATTTCTTTTATGTAGGATAAAAAAAATTTATTTATTGTAATTTTTTTAAAATAAAATTATTTAAATAAAATTAATATGGATATTCACAAATATCAAGAAATATTTTAAAATTCATGGATATTTATTTAGAGAATATCCATCCAAATATGAGACAGATACATGTATCTATCCTATTTATTTAATGGGACGAGATGCAAGAATACCTATGGATACCCCTTTCTATCCTTAATTTTAATAAAAATAATATCCTCACATTATTTTTTATATTTTTTCTTTTGTAATAAATAGTTAAAGAGACTATTACATTTGAAATGTTATCTCAGTAGTAAAATTTAGTTATGTAGTTTGAACAACTATGTTCAAAAAATAGTTGTAAAGTGACTACTAGTGCTACTTTAATTGATAATAAGATTTCTTTCCCCAATCTGTTTTTAAAAGTTAAGGTAATTATTGACAAAACAATGTTCTCTTCGTTTTTCATTATAAGCTGTTTCTACTATTTTACAGATATTAAAAAAACTGTAATGATTGATATAAGAAAAGGAAAAGTTATGAATGATTTTATAAAATTATCATTTATTAATAATATGTGAAAGATGAATTAAAAGAATTAAAAAAACTAATAAATACTTAAAAATATAATAAAAAAAGTTAATATTAATAATTTATTGATTTTATAAAATATTTTATAATTTGATATAAATATTTTTATCATAATAAAAAAATGAAAGGAGTGGTTTATGTTATTTTGACTTTGAGAACAATAAATAAATAAATTAATAATAATTTTTGTGCAGACTCAACAATTAAATGGAATTGAGATAATCATCATTACTTTTAAAAGTGTATCTAAAAATATTTTATAATCATATTTAAAATATGTTAGCTTCTTCCACCATATTAAATATAGGTAGGGGTGCATATGAATTGGGTTGGATCAGATTTAGCATAATCTATAATCTGTTATCCGACCAGTCCAAACATAAATGAGTTAGGTTTATCGTCCAACTCACAATTTTACATTCGAACTCGACTCAAACAGATTTATTTACTTATAAGCTAGGTTCGCGTGTTATGTTTTAAGTAAAAAATATTATTTTAGTTATAAAGAAAGTGTAACACAATTTAAAAAAATTAATTACATTCATTTTAAATATTTAAATTGAATAAATCACATCATATAATGTTTAATAAAATTCATCCACATGACATAACAAATGATAATAGTTGAAAATTATAAAAGATTTGTTATTTCCATAAAATACATAAGTTGATAATGATACAAAAAAAAATTAAAAACAATACTTAATCTTAAAATTACGTAAATTTATTGGTCTAATAGGAGTTTTGGCGTTGAATATTTTTTTTTTTGAAAAAATTGTGATTAGTAGTTAAATATTAACTTTATATATTTATTTAAAATAATAAAAAAAATTCACAAATGTCACATTAATCGATTAGATCAACAGATTTATGGGTTGGGAAACAAAAATTTGATACCCGAATTAAAGTTATATGAGTTGGATAGGGTATAGTCATAAATAAAGGATTCAAAATTTATGAGTTAATTCGGTTTGAATTAACGGATTTGTAGGTCGACTCGCACCCATAAATATCTCTAAATGTAGGAGCGCGGGTTTGAATTTGCGACATATCACCTGTTCAGTTTAAAATGGTGAATTTCAACTATTAAATTACTTAACTAATAAAATATGTTGTTTTACTCATTAATTCTTTATAAAACAAAGTACAATTAACTAGACACTATACATTGTATTTTTATTTGATGGTTAGACCCATATTTTTATTTATTTTCAAAAATGGTAATATAAATAAAAAACGTAATTATAAACTTTTTCCTTATTGATATAAATTATAATAATTGTCATATAGAACATCAATTTTTTTAATGTTATATAGTACATTGTATTTTTATTTGATATTTAGATTTATATTTTCAATTCTTTTAAAATATATTTTAAATATAAAGGTATAAATAATTATAAACTTCTTCTTTATTAAATAATATTTTTAATTAGAGATGTTTTGGATTTGATTTGAATCGGTTTGGAGTAAAAAGTAATATTACAAAATGAGAATAATCAATTAAGATAAATGAAATAATAAAAATAAATTGATTAAATTAAATTAATAAATAGTATTAAAAATAAGTATTAATGAACGATAAATAAACCAATGTATCATACTAATAAAAAAATAAAAAAATATTAAAATATATACATGCAATTCGAGTCGATTTGTATCAATTTTAAAAAATTAATCCAAAATCCAATTTGATTCAAACAATTTTCACAAAATGATATTCAAGCACATTCAATAATATCATGTTTTTGGTGGTTTTTGACACCCATATTCTCAATCCCTTTTGACAAAACTTTATATTAATTTTAAAAATAAAAATAAACCAATTTCTTTTTTTTCATAAAGCAATCACATCCCTAATATTTTTATAGAATTTTCGACCACCACAAATATACTTTAGATGATCTCTGACTAGATCTAAGATCATCTCATTTAAATATTTTATTTTCACCCACTCACTCTTCTCATTTTTTTCCAATCATCAAAATATTCAATATCGTGTTGCCGCTACCTCTGTGAGTATCATATATTTTTTCCTATCATTTTTTTGTTTTTTAGTTTTATTTTATCTCTCTCGCTTCCAATGACAATGCATTAGAATTTCATCTTCTATTAGATTTGACTATGATTTAGTGTTGAAATAATTCTAAATAAATTGAAGATCGCATGTATGTTTGTTTAAGAATATTAAATTCGATGGAAAACACTATGATACCAATTTGCTTAAATCCAAACAACCAAATCTTCATACACCAAAGGGATCTTAGTTTAATAGATTATGATTTTCGTATATATGTAGATCAATCAATTTACTGATTTAATCGAAGATTTGATTATTATTACATTTATGAGGGGAATTTTGATTTTTTTATTATTTTAAAAATAGTGTTAGAGTTAGGTCTTTTTTATAATATTCAATTTTTTTAAAAACATATAATTTTGTGTCTTAATACATGTGAAGTTTATGGAATATTTACTGATATTTTTTTTTCAAAATTAAAAATATCAAAATATTATTTGTGATTAATTATGTCATTACATAGAGAATACACTTGCTCTTATTTCCTTAGAAAATAGTTATTTAAATACTCTTATTATGAATGAATTATTAGTGACTTAGTATAAAAATACAAAGAGATATCATTCAAATGATTAATTGAATATATATTTTTTTTTGTTTAAGGCTCAAACAATTTCATGGATGATGCTAGAGGTCCACCAAAAAGAATTAGAAGAAATCGCCAATCTCCTAATATTTTGACCAGATCTTCTACATCTTCCTCCAATTCAAGACACACTAATGGAGTTGTTACTGAGGATAATCCAGCATTTCCCTTTCAGCCAGTGTTTAATATTCAAGGTAAATTTTTCTTCTCTTTTGTATTCATTATTTAGAATTCTAGAAAACATAATCTGCATATTTATGACCACATAAAAAATCTTCCTCAAATGTAAAGAATTTATACAAAGTTTTTTTTTATAAATTTAATATTGTATAAATGCATACATGATCTAACATTTGAAGTATTTCTTTAAATTTGTTATGCTGGTTTATTTAAAATTGTATAATTTATTGTTTTGTTATAATTTTTTCAGCACCTAATAGAAATGAAAGTTCATTAGAGAGTGCAAATATGGGTTTCCAGAGATACTATAATGAAACAGTTGGCATAAGGTTTATCAATCCTTTTTCTTCTTTCCGTCAACAACATCGTCGTTATGATCTTCCAACAATTTCTATGCATGGAGTTCCTCCAAATCCTCCACCTGGTGCTATGATCCCTCCACAGGTAAGTTTTGAAAATTTTGAATCTCATAGCGTCATGTTTTAGAATATATTTATGCATCGAGTAAATATAAAATAATGTAATTATAATCTTCTTATAACCAAATAAATGTTAAAGATTATATAGATAAAGCAGAAAAACTAGTAATAATTTATTTTAGGAGATCATGTAGATTATCTTATAGGTTGGTTGAACTTCATTTGCATAGGACATGGCTATTTTAAATGGAGAAGTCGAAAATCAGCTTGATCCATATCGAGGAATGCGCTTGAATATTGAGGAAATGTCTTATGAGGTCACTTTAAATAAAAGATTGAAATTATGTTTATCTTATCAATATTTACATTCTTTAAATTTATAGGTTACAACAAAAATTATATTTGAATTGTTGATTATAGGAACTTCTTGCACTTGGTGAGAATATTGGTAGTGTTAACACTAGTTTATCTGAGGAAACAATTACTGCTCTACTGAAGACAAAAGAATACACACCAAAACCCATTATTATTAATTTGGAAGAATTACCATCTGACGATCAAGAATCTGATGCTTGCATTATCTGTCAAGTATGATATTTTAACTATTTTATTTTATTCAAAATTTTCACTAATTTTACACATGATAATTCAATAATTTTTCCAAAGATTTTTATATTCAATATACTCATCTGTTATTCTTTATTAATTGGACAGGAAGAATTTGAGAGTAAAGAAAATGTTGGAATTCTTGCATGCGATCATGTGTTTCACGTCGGGTGCATAACACAATGGTTGTTGATAAAAAATAAGTGTCCAATCTGCAAATCTGAAGCTTTGACTCCTACAAAGGTTGAATAGAAGGAATCCATATATTTTTCATGGCTATGAATATCTTTTTCTTTCTAGATATGCACTTTTTGAATAATTTGATTTTAGACATGTCTTGTGATGTTATTTGTTTAATGCTCTTGTTGGGTATTAAAATTTGATATCTATAAAATTTTGCAGACAATGTTATGTTGGATGTTTTTACTACAAATAATTATTATGATACTTTTGAAGTTATCATTATGGTGTGACTTAAGTTAAATTGAAGCATCTTTTTTCATGTAGTATTGAATGCAGAGTTGTGCATTTTCTTACGTGATATAGTTGTGTTTGAATTTGAATACGCATTTTACATGATAGTCATGATAGTCTGAATCTGAATACTCATTTTATATGATAGTCTAAGATAGCTCTGTGATATTCCAAGGTAGCTTTATGATTTTATATGTGTGGGAAGTAATAATCATAATAGTCTAAGGTAGCTTTATGATTTTACATGATACTCATTTTATTACTTAATAATTCAACCTTATTCATCTAACTCAACATATATAAGAATAATGTAACATCAAAATAATAAAGGTTAAGATCAATTTTAAAAAAGCGATTGGAATATGATTTATTAAATGGTTCGTCAAATATTTGTAATGTAGTATGATGACATGACATCGCTGATCAAAATTAAACTTTGAGGTATTTTTCAACGTCATGACAATGTTCAATGATTCTTAAGATTTTCTAATGTATACAAACTTATTAACACCATTACACTTCAAGTAAAACTTTTCATTTCCACCAATATGGTCCTAGTTTTTACGTCTAAGATGATTAAATACGTTTTGGTATGTCTATTATTTAGTTAACCATAATAGTTTTAAGGATCCATTTATTTAGAACCACTGCAACTCAATAAACTTGAATTTAATTCTAAGTTGATCAAGACTAGAATCAAATGTGTAACATAAAGAACTGTAGCTTTATATTTGCAGAAGTTCTAAATCAGGGTGCCCTCGCTCAGGAGTCGTGTCGTCTAGGTGATGACCCAGAGACTCGTCCAAAAGTAACCTAGATTTCTTGTTATACCTTTTCCCTTCCTTTCTTCCCCAGATTTAATAGCATTAAAATCTCCATCCACTAACCATTCACTTATTGACAACTTTCTTTTCACCTCAATCAAATCCGACCACAATCTTCTTTTCTCGGCTAAGATACATGAAGAATAAACATTGATCATATAGATTTTAACACCTTTCCAATTACCTACGACTCCTAAATACTCAAAGCCTCTGAAACTAAATTTAGAATGGAAAACAAACTTGTTCCATATCGTCAAGATACCACCAGAGTTCCCAATTGCCCCAGAAGCCGACCATTCAAATTTGCCATTACCCCATAAGCTTTGAACTACTTCCACCTCTAAATTTTGAAATTTTGTCTCCTGAATAAACCTAACATCAGCATTACCTGTAGAAAAGAATTTTCTCATCCTCCTTCGCTTGAAGGAAGACCTACACCCACGAACATTATATGTGAGCAGATTCATAGGACCCTTAATTTTGCCCCCATCTTACTCTCATATGCTTTCCTGTCTTGCATTTCCAATCCCCTAATAATACTTTCGAAAACTTCGTCATCTTCATCACCTTCAATACCAAGCTTCTTTATAGATTGCCACACCTGGATAGGAACATCTTTAAGAGATTTACGCACTTTGGAATTGCCTTGATTAAAATCCGTATCGCTGATCGAATCGCAACACAAGACGGACTCACCAGAGAAATAAGAATATTCATCCTTTAAATGCAAGCTGTTGTGAATTCTTTTCAGCAAAACCTCTCGTTCCAACACATTTTCTTTGTTCAGCCCTTGTTGATGGATCAATGTAGAAAAGTATAAAGGTGAATAAGGAATTTGAATAGACGTGTAAATATCTGAGACAAGTTTCTTTTTAGTAATTTTTTTCCTACATAATGGGCCATCCCCCGCTAAAGGCCCATCGTCAATGAGAGAAATTGGATCTTCAAAGGCCCCATTTGGGCCAAGAGTAGAACAATGATTTGGATCTGGATCCAACTCCCTAACACAAGGATCCACTATCACTAACGTTCTAACAGGATTCACAGGAGACTCCACATTGAGAATATCCCTAGGGAAATCAGATGTTCTTCTATGGTTAACCCCATGTTGGTATGGACAGTGGTTAAGTGTCGGGTTTTTGTTATCGTCTCCATAGGGAATATAAGATATTGCTGCAGTTCGACAGTTATCGAGTTCTTAACTTTTTAGTAACGAAAGGCGTTTGGTTTTTAGTAACGGTATCTTTGCATAAAAAGTACTGAACCGCGGTAAAAGATTGATTTTATGATTTAATAAAGATTGCCAAAGTTAGGGTTTGGTAATCACTTTGCTTGTATATGTCCGATCAACAATAAGCATAAATTTCTTCAGATGATAAACACATTCACAACATCCTCCCAATGTGATTATCTCTAACTCACATTGTGATTTTTCCCATTTTGATCCATTGTTAATCTCTCACACAATCTATCAAAATGATAGCATTTAGGTTTAACATTTTTTCGTGAACAACCACGTTCGAAACTATCTCTAGCTTAGGAAAATAGAAGGATGAAAACGTAGGTCAAGAGTTGGAAAATATCTTTCGATCATAAACCAACGCAAAGAGTTAAAGATAAAGCAAGGTTTTCACCATATATTCATCATCCAAGAGTTTACAAATGAAGATCCTCCATATACTTACAAAGCTTAATGATCACCTACATCTAACCTTGACAAAATGAAGAACTTAGCTACTCATTTTCATGGTAGCTTGCAAAAGAAGATTCGGAAGAAGGTTGATGAACATCCGAGTCAAAGAATCCAACTTGGATGAGAATCCACCTTCTTTTTGTGGATTAATGTTATGAAATGAAGAAAATAAGAGGTAGAGTGTTTCTAGGTCAAAAAATCTCTTATGCAGCAAAAACAAAGTAAAAATATGATATCTTGTTCAAAAAGTACAAAGGCTATATATAGAAAAAGTTGTTGTCCTATCACGCTTGCAACTTCATTCGCCTAGCGAGCTAACAGCGAACGTTCGCTACAGCTTCGCTTAGCGAACATGCTAGCGAGGGCTGAGGAAAAGATTCTGGAATGCTTCGCTACTTGCTCGCTAGGTGCTCGCCTAGCGAGTTCTTCGCCACCTGCCTCACTGCCAGCGAATAATGCATTTTTGGTTCTGCCCAAGTCTGGGAGTGTTCGCTAGCAGCTCGCTGGATGCTCGCCTAGAGAACAACTCGCTGCAACACTCGCCAGATGTTCGCCTAACGAACATGCTTTTGCTCTTGAACTTTCTTGATTCCTTTGTCAACTTTCTTGTGTCTTCAATTTTTGCTCATTCATGCTCAAATACTACACAATAACACACAAATTAAAAGGAACAAGAGCATTTCACGACATATCGCATATCAACAAAAGCAAGGCAGTTTTGAACCGAAATTGCACAAAAAGAAGCGGAAGATGCCCACATTTGATAGCTCAAATAAGCACAATTGGGCATCTAACACCCCACACGCTACCACCTCACTGTCTCCAAAAACCACCTTTTTGCCTACCACGTCTACATCACACCTTTTTTCAAAATCATGTTCCCCCACCACCCTATCCGAGGTAACGTTATGATCTCTATTTGCCACATCTAAATCTACTAATTTCCTATGCCTCTCACTTTCAAACTTGTCATTGCTTTCCTCTTTCCCAGACGCAACCTCTTCGTCTTCTTCTTGTTGTTGACTTTCCCACACGCCACTCTCGTCATCCGTATCTGAAAACTCTGATTCACTCACAATCCCAGTTTTCTTCCTGACCACAATCCGCTTAGGACCGTGAAAGTCTTCCACTAGTTTCAATCTATAGAACATACCGTTAATATCAATGTTAAAGACTTAATTCAAGTTGATAAAAAAATTTGTCTTAAAAAAAATCTATCCACATCTAGGTTAACTTGATTTTCTGTTTCATTGTCACAACACACATACATACCAACACACCCCGATATGAAACTAAAAAAACGCTCCCCCCAAGCATGACATGGGAGGCCAAAGCATTTTATCCAGGTTAATCTTTCACCATCAGTATCAGACAAAGACCAAGGATGAATGTCCTCAAAGTATTGTTGAAATCAAGATTCGTTTTCTTGAACCAGTTCCTTCACAACCCGTGGTTCCCTATCCTCCAGCAGACATAAATTCGCGCCCAAGGGAGTGGCCTTTATACTAAAGAAACCTTCTGAATTCAATACCTCTTGAATACTATATGTAGACCCGGATTTATGAACCACACCAACATATGCATTTTCAAATCTTGCTAATTCTGATTATGAGAGCTTGAAGTGCAAATGCGTAAAAGCAGGCTTCTCAGTTAACTTCATACCCTTCAAATCAATGTTATTTACCTTACCGAGCCCTTGTAGATTATTGTTTTTTACCACCTGTGCATACGACCTCTCCAAACTCCTGATCTTTCCCCCTACTTTGGTTCCTATTCCATAAGTTTCTAACCTCTTGAACCTTTTGTGTCACTCTAGCTTGCCTATTATCACCACTTCTCTGAAATCTTGGTATGTTAGCAAATAACTCTTTCCCTTCAATCATAATGCTATCCAATTTCGCAGCCAAAGTTCTTTCATTTTCCACCCGTATGAATCTTGCAAAACCATACCTTCTGCCCCTGCGATCTCTCTTCCCAGCGATAAAAACCTCCTTAAGTAGACCATATTCTTTAAAGATTTCCGCCATTTCCTTAGCCTCGAAGGAATCAGGAAATTCTGTGAAGAAGAAAGAAGTCATGACGTCTCCTATATTTTGTCCTTTACCAGCCCTGAATGTCCATATTAATATTCGAGTTCTGATTTCTGGCAGTTTCCTTCTTTGTCTCACCTCAGTCCATGTCGTTTCTCCTTTCACCTTTTCTCTGTTTGTCGTTTTCCCTCTCATTGTCGTTTTTCTCCTCTTATGTAATATATAATATAT